GCTATCTCAGTCCATTTTCTGCTGCTGTGACTGGGTAATTTATAAAGAATCAAAGTGTATTTGGCTCATGGCTCTGGAGGCTGGGAAGTCCAAGAGCATGATGCTGGCATCTGGAGAGTGTCACGCCACGGTGGAAGGGCAGAAGACAGAAGTGAGCACACGAGATAAACAGGATCGGGCCAAGGCATCCTTTCATCATGGGTCCATTTCCATAGTAACTAACCCATTATCAAGATCATGGCATTAATCTATTCATGAGGGCAGAGCCCTCATCTAATCACCTCTTTGAGGCCCACTTTCCAGTACCATTACATAGTCATTTACATTTCAACATGAATTTTGAAGGGGACATTCAAACCATAGCAGGTGCTATTCCCCAAAGGAAGGGATTCCAGACAGACTGATCACACATACCAGGTACTCTCTGCTGCGAGTAACAGAACATATGACTAAAATTTTGCTTAAATAAGTAGCCAAGTGGGCGGTTTCACAATTGGTCAATTGATCCACACAAAAATGTCATCCAGAAGCCAGGATCTACCCCACCATCCTCAGCATCTTGGCTTCCTGTGTCTCTGACCCTCCCAAAGGTAAAGTTTCCAAGATGCTTTTAAGCTACTGTCATCACCTATCTGTGGTCAAGACAGAAAAAGGGGAGACAATTACCCTGTCACATCTCTCTCTTATTTTTGTTTGTTTATGAAGGAGGACTTTTCCAGAAATCTCCTAGCAGGCAACTATGTCTTCTTGGCCAGAAGTAGGTCACATATTCACCCCCAAATCCATCTCAAGCAAAGAGAAATGGGAGCAGAGGGAGAATGGGGGCAGAAAGGATGAGAGAACAAAGGCAGGAAGGCAAGAAACCAAGGTAGGATCCATCCACTGGGGCTGGACCCATTTTCCCTGAGTGCCAATACTCTTGCTCAAGAGAAATTCAGAGTAAAGAAGATGGGAAAATGGCTGCTGGGCAACCAGGCAGACTCAACATCTATGTTTCCCTGCTTTTTCATAGACAGACCCCCAACTCTACAGCAAGCAGCCATATGTCCAGCTAAAAATATATTCTCTAGTCTCTCTGTAGCTAAGTGTCATGTGACATCATCTGACCAATGAGATACAAGGTCACCGACCAAGCCCACAGTCATTGGCTCGTCCTTTGTCCTGCCCCTTTCTCTGCTAGAAGGCCAGCAAGATGCTGGAGCTACATGGGCCACCTTGGGATGGCTCTTTAGGGTCCTTGATGAGGTGGTTGAGATCCATGCCAGCCAACCCTGACTTACTTCTTATTATGTGAGAAAAACAAAATCCTGAAATTGCCAAAGCCTTTATTTTCCTGTCTCTGCTACTTGGAGCTGATCAGCTTATGAACTGGTTCCCAGGTGTCCCCCATTTGATGTAGCAGGAGTACATGAAAGGGTGTCACTAAAACACAGGCTGAACCTCAGGGATTAGCCAGAGGAGTCTGGAATAAGAAGGGTCGAACTCTGTCCACCTCATTCATTCACTCACACACTCAGGAGACAGTCACTGAACACCTATGCTATTAGGTCCTGTGTGGAACCTGGGAGGCAAAGATAAATAGGACAAGGTCCTTACTCTCAAGGAGCTCACAGGAGAGACAAATAAGTCAACTCAAGTGCACAGCAGTGGAGACCGGCCGTGGTAGGAGCACGCTCCAGACGAGACAGGACTCTCCTGCTTGCCAGTGTTGGGATCCCAACATATATGAGCAGGGCCAAAAGCTTATGGCTCATACAGTCAAAAGGAGAAAAGGAAGAGCAGAGGAAGAATGGGGGCAGAGAGAACAAAGGCAGAAGGCAAGAAACAACCTGGAGTGTGAGGGTATGTCACTGGAACCTGCACGGGGCATGAGCAGCAAGGCAGAGGAGCCCACAAGCCACACTGGGGAGCCCTCAATGCCAGGTTGTGGCACGTGTATGTCACCTAGCAGGTGATGGAAGCATGGAGGTGTTAAACAGAGGAAGACAGTGGGAGCTTTGGGTTTTAGAAGGGTCACGTTGACATGGTTTGGAGGAGAGCAAGACCACAGTCAGGAAGTCCCATTAGGAGGTCGTTGCACTAGACAGATGGGACCATGGTGCTGCACACGTGGGGAGGACATGCACATGGCTGGAAGGGGCTGCATCAGGAGTCAGTTTGGAGTCAGAGTCAGCAGGCTTGTGATTGACTGGGAGTGGGCGACGGTAAGGGGAAGTGTGAAGAACGACTCCCTGGCTTCTGAGGGAGGCAACTGAGTGGGTGGTGCCATATACTGAGTTGGAGAATTCGAGGAGCACAGATTGGAGGGGGTGATCGATTCGGCATAGGGCACATTGAGACTGAAGGGTTTACGGGACAATCTGGTGGAGGTGGGCCAGAAGGCAATTGGATATTTGAGTCGGGAGCTCCAAAGGGAAGCCTAATCTGGTGAGAAAAATACAGGAGCATCGAATTCAGAGGAACATTAACCATGGGAACCACGGGAGTAGATGGAGTCCTCAGGGGACTATACTTAAGGCAGCAGATCTCAACAAGAGGTGCATGGACTGGCATGCCCAGAATTGCCAGGGGTGGGAGGGCACTGTTTCATAGTATATACCCATCCTCTTGTCCAGTTAATACGCTAGGGAATGTGACCAAAGAAAACGCTGTTTCTCACGAGGTGACCTCAAGCAGAAATTGGAGAGCACAGGTGGGAAGAAAAGAGGGTCACGATAAGCACAGAGAACAAAGGAAGAAGAGCCCAGGAAGGAGACCAAAAAGGAAACAAGATTGATGGAGATGCAGAAGAGCGAGGCAATCCAGATGTCAGACTAGAGCAGCCAGTCGCAACATCAGAGTGCAGCAGGGGAGCTTGTGAAGAATGCACATCCCCGCCCGTCAGCATTCCAAGTCTGCATTGTAAAGTTCCACAGACACTACCCCAGGTGGAGAGAAGTTCAGGAAGATGGGCATGGTCAACTGGCTCAGGCCAGCAGAGGAATCTGGTCTGGTAAGATAGAAGACTGAGAGGCCTATCCAGTTCCACTCTTCAGGTTATTGGTAACCATGGAAGAGGGAATTTCGGTGGTGTCGTGGGAGTGGAAGCCAGATTGCAGTGGGCTGAAGAGTGAATGGGAGGTGAGAAAGAGAAGAAGCAAACACAGACCCCTTTTGGGAGAAGTTTGGGTGAGAGGCGGAGACAAGAGCGTCATCCCCCTCAAAGGCCACCTTCCATCTCATGGAGAAAACCGGTAAAGAGGATTAAGGAAATCTGGAGGCTGAGTCAGACATTCCACGGACACACAGAACACACCCCAGGAAAGCAAGTTGGGAGTTGGTAGGAGCCTAACCCACTTCAAAGCTGCCAAGTCTTAACACCAAACACATTGTGCATGACTCTATCTACACACTCCAAATCCAGCCATGCACAAGGCTGGAAGGTGGCCTCCACCACCAAAGTGATATTTCCCTGATTCAAATCAGATCACCTTGCTGCCCTACTTGACACCCTTCAATGGCCCCATAGGGGGCACTCAATTCCCTGAACATGGCAATTCAAAGTCCTTCTAATACATCCTTACTTCCCTCTGCATCTTCACCCCTATCACCTCCTACCTATAGAACATCCTCCCTACACCCAGATCTCCTGGAGCCACCAACAGTTTTCTGCAGACTCTGCCCCCCACTTTGGCCTGGTGGTCATCATAGTCTCAAACAACTCAAGCTCCATAGTCAGAGTGAGCTATTACTCCCTGCGCCTGGCTCACACCTCTATCCTGGAACGGGTAGAATACGTTATTCTGTATCTCTTAGGTCATCAGGAAAGTCATGACGTATTCCTCTATGCTTTTCTATGCGAAAATGCATCATGACTTTCCCAATGACCCAATATTTGTTCCAGGGCTACCCCTACCCCCACTCCAACACAGCCTCCAGACAGTGCCTTTCATGGGATCAACGTCCTCATCCTACTCCTCTCTCAATCCCTAGTACCTGGCCAGGGCTGAGCTCCCAGGAGATGCCAGTAAATGTGGCAGTGAGATTTCATCTTGAGTACTCATCACAATAAAGCAGATGTTTAAATTATGGAGTATTCCACTAACCCTTTGATACAATTATCAAATAATGGAATCTACCTGTGCTTCTCCTTTGCACTTCTCTCCTGTTAATACTCTCAGATCAATCAGATAAATTTTCCCTCCCAAGAGAAAGAAAAGGCAGAATCTGGACTGCTATGTAAACTAGATGGCACAAACTCTCAGAGACTCTATGAGGGCGCTGGGCAATGCTATACCTTCTCCAGAGGCATTATCTTTATTTTGATTTACTTTTTTTTTTTTTTTTTGCCATAGGGCATGTGTGCTCCTTGGAAAGAGACAGAGAAAGACAGTGAGAGAGTGAGGAATCACCCCCCAGAGGGGAGGGCCACACCACAGTCCCTTCTCCTCCACTCTACTCTCTGGATTTGGGGCACACATGCACATGTGCCCAGCCTGCGTTTCAAGTTGCTGGGTCTGGGACTTGAACCACAGTCAGCCATGTGGGTTTCCAGCCCCTTAAACACCATATCACCTACTAGCCCCTGATACTTTCCTTTAACGTGCTACCTAACTTCTCTGAACGTTAGTTCATATGGGATTACGGACACATTACCTGAAGACATTGTAGTGAAAATTAAGTGAGGTATTAAGTGTAAAGACCTACATAAGTGCTAGTTATTATTAGGCTTCTGAGAGCCCCAAAAAGTAGCAGCTCAGTGTCATGACACCAAGAAATTGCATTTGCTATTTCAAACGACTAAAAGAAACCCCCAAAGCAATACTAAAAGCAGAACTTCAGTTTGCCTGGCCTCCTCCGGCGCACTTCGGACGACTATAAGTGAAGCCCCGCCTCCTTCGCTCTCCTAAGCCACGCCCCTTCCCGTGCCACCCTTACTCGTAGGGCCCTTCAACATTGACTGACACTGTTATCCACCAATAATAAGTAGAATTCCCGTCAACGTCCGGCGAGGAGGCAGGACTTCCTGGCTGGTTGCTAGGACACTCTTGTTTCGCTCCTTGACAACCCTGGCGGGGGTTAGCTGGCTGCGGCCCTGGCTCCGGCCCCCGCGGGAGCAGGTGAGGTCCCGGGCGCGGCGGGCAGCTAGGCGGGGAGGGCCGGCCGGGAGGGAGGACTGGAGACAATGCCAGGCGGACAAGGCCTCGCCCACTGCCAAGGCCCCACCTCGGTCTCCTGCGTGTGGTTCCTCAGCCCCAGGTCCTCTCACCCCCACCCGACTTCGGGGACCTCCGAGCTCGGTTGGGATAGATTCGCCATCGCGACTCTGCAGGCCGCTCCTCTCCACCCGCCAGAGGCCCAGTTCAGCTCTGCATTCTTGCATCCTTCCGGTTGCGACTCCCCCAACACCCTAATATCCGCACCTCTCGGAGTAATCCCCCCATCCTGCGGCCGGGCCGATGGTCTCCGTAGCTTCGGCCGGGCCCAGACCACTTGACTCGGAGAGTTGGCGACCTGCGGGACACGGGGCTCGTCATTTCCCCCTGTGGACCTTAGTTTCCACATCTGTAAACGAGAAGTTGGGTTCAACGGCCCCTGAGACCTCTACGACACTGACGTTCTAGGTGGTTGTTCTTTGACCCACTGTTGGCTTCACTAAGGATGTGCTCCCTGTGCAAAATGAGAACTTGGCAGACTTCATTTGGATTCTCATTTGCAGGACCTAGCACTTACCTAACCTCCTTGAGTTCCAGTCTGTGCCTCTCTAAGTCCAGTACCTCTTCCTGGGGAATTTGAAGGGTCCCTGTCGGCTCTGCCTCCCTCCAGTGCAAATTCACTATGCTCTTGCTTGGGCGTTTACTTCTCCATATTTTACCTCTGAGAAATGTTACCAACCTTCTCAGCCACAGCTGTTATTTCTCCGTTTGACCCTCAGAGCCATTATCCCCAGCTTTGATGTTTTTCCTAGACTTCTGTGGCTAGGCGCATTTAGGGGTGGGAGATTTGGGGGGAGACAGGCCAAGATTGATATATCCATGTGGTGGTTGGACTCAGCGGCCTCCCTTGTGCCCCTGATGATCCATGATTCATTGGTTTCCTGTGCCCACCTACACAGCTCTCTGCATTTCTCACCAGCTTCTTAAACACAGTAGTAAAATGAAACCAGTCTCCCTCTCTGCCTACCCATTTGTTCTGCCTGGTTCCTCGTCTCCGTCCGTGGCACCACCATGCTCCTGGTGTATCACCCACCGCTCTGTCATGCCTGACCCACTCAGACAGTTCTTGAATTGCTCTGATTCTGCTTCCTCAAGGAGCTTACACTCCCTCTGTTCCTGAAGCCGCCACCCTGGACCAAGTGTTTAATGTAGCTTCCTAACTGCTCTCCCTCCTTCCGGTCTCTCCTCTCAGCCCAGCCCACCAGAATTATTGCCTAACACACAACCAAGAGACCTCTAAAGGGCTTCCCGTTGCCCATGGAAAATAACCACACTTCTTAAGGCTGGGTTGTAGGACCTTTCTATACCTCTGCAATTCTGACTTTATTTCTCCCTTCTTTGCCAAATTCCGTCCTCCAGCCAAATTGGACTGTCAGACTTCCCCAGAAAGTTCTCTGAGCCTTCTGTCTTGGTACCACTGTGTTTGCTTATCTGCCTGGAATTTCTCCTCACCTTGCCCACCTGTCAGGATTGCCACTCACCTTCCAAAGCCTGACTCAGACGCTGCCCCTGCTGCCATGCTTCCCTACTGTCCTCTCTCAATCCTTTGGAGATTTTTCTCTCGCCTTTATCTCTTCACCTATCCTGTGGCACTCAGTACTTTCTGCCATGAACCACAGTTAGCATCTTGTGTATATGTGTTGGTGTCCATAGTGGACTGTAAACACCCTCAAGGCAGGGACTGCCTCTTGCTTGTGGTGCAATAGTTGAAAAAGCGTAACTCTTGGAGTCATATTTACCTGGGATTGAGTCCTAGCTCCTCCATTGATTAGCTGAGTGGAAAATCCTTTTCTCAGCTTATGTGGTCATCAGTAAAGTAGGGATGTTTGTGCCAGTCTGCTGCTGGAGTAATTGCGGAGGGTAAATGGGTATTCCTGTCTATGGGGTACCCATCCTGGTGCCTGACTCAAGAGCACCAGGTTCAATAACAGTCAATAGATGTTATCGACTGGTTTGATAGCTCCTCTCCTTTCCCATCAGGCAAGTGAATTATAATTCAATTACAGTTTGACTGGAGCCAGCAGGTGATGTGGAGGTTACGATGCTGGATCCCACATGGCTGACTCCACAGTTTGGGTCTTGGACCTGGGCAGCTTGAAAAATCATGCCGGGCATGTGTGTGTGTGTACATGAAATCCTAAGGGAAGAATGGAAGAGAAGGGGTCACATGGCCAACCCTTGGGGGGTGATTTCTCACTTTCTCTCTCTAGTGAACACACACACCCTATAGCAAAAAAAAAAAAAAAAAAAAAAAAAAAAAAACACCAATTTGCTTGGGGGGTGATTTCTCACTTTCTCTCTCTTAGGAAAAAAACACCCCCAAAAAAAAAAAAAAAAAAAAAAAAAAAAAAAAAAAACAACCAATTTGGCTTTTTTAGGGGGACTTCGGCCATATGCTAGACACTGGACTTCTTGCTCCGGGACATCTAGAATAGATAAAGTCCCTCAGCTCCAGGCAGTTGTCTGGACTCACAGCCCTCGATTAGGTTGTGATCTGTTGTAAGATATCACCAGTAATTAGCAATTATGAATGAATCTTTAAAAAATAAATCAGGGCCAAGAGCAATCGACTCCTGTGATACTGTCATTCTTAGTCCCTTGTCTTCAAATCTGTTCTCCTGAGTGGGCAAGAGGGGGCCGGGAGCCCGCGTGATCCGTGCGTGAAGTCAGCAACGCCTTCGCGGAGGGCTCATCACTGTGATGGCCGGGACTTCTTGTTATGCTTGAATCTTGACAAAAACGGTTGGGATTTCCTCCAAATTTGGATGTATCCATGAAAGTGTGCCACGTGAGCCACGCCATTTTTCCTGTGTCAGACATAGAGGCAACGTGGAGAATGGCAGCCCGAGAAGAGTAACCAGACCACTTGTCTCCTCCCCTCTGCCCCTGTCCCGCGTGTTCTTTCTCTCCCTCCCTCTCCATCTGGACCTCAGTAAAATGAGGAGAAATGACAACCGTTTTTCAAACAAAACACAAGAAACCTTTCATGTGTGTGTTTAAAAGGTAACTACCTTTTTCTAGAAGGGCTGGTCTTTTTTCTTCAGTTAGCTCCTTCTTACTCTTAAGTTTTCTTCTTCTGTAGTAGTTTTTAATGCTCTTATTTAGCAAGATGTTGAAAGCAGCAGCCCTGTCCTTGCTCCCCATCTGGGCCTCTGGGAAGCCTGGTCTTCCACACCATTCTCCTGTGTCCGAAGACCCAAGGGTCCTTCCTCCTTATGTTGCCACTTTGTTCTTCATCTCTTTATCAGAAGGCAGAGGTATGGCGGTTAAGGCACTGAATCCCACGTGGCGACTGCATGGTTCAAGTCCCAGACCTGGCGACTTGAAAATCACGCTGGGCCTGTGTGCACATGTCCTAAGTCCCGAGAGGAGGATAGAGGAGAAAGGGTTGCAATGTGGCCGTCCCCTCCAGAGGGTGAACTCTTACTTTCCCTCTCTCTCTCTGGTGAATGCACGTACTCTATAGCAAGCTAAAAAAATAAAAGAGGAGGGGGAGGAAGGTGGCATAGGGTGGATGTGTCAGGAAAAGCAGAGGATGCCCAAGGGCACAGTGTGTATGGTGGACATGGCTGGAAGCAGGAGGTGGGCCTGGCCAGATGCCTGGACTGCTGGATGCTAAGTACTGAAGTTATTTACTCGTATTAGTGTCTTATCTCCTACTTGCTGTGCCAGGGGAGAAAGCACAGAAGGCATAGTCAGGAGAATAGAACCGGGTTCGGATCCTGGCTCTGCCATTGCTGGCTGTATATCCGTAGACCAGCCATAAAACGCCTCTGAGCTCAGGCACCTTACCTGAGAAATGGGAGCTTCCCGCACTTGTTACGAGGATGTCAGAACATGACATAAGCACACCACTGCCACCCTGGTCCCAGCTCAAACTGGTTTTGACAGATGTCCCTGTGGCCCTCTCTCTTTCTTCCACACTAGCAGAGGTTTGCACTTAGCAGGGACTCAGTAACTAGTGACTGGTTCAGCTGAACGTTTGGCTGTGAGGTTGGCTAGTCTGTGAACATCATGGTTCTCCTTCCTGCAGAACCTACGGTCATGGGGCTGACATTTATTTGAGGTAGAGTCCTTTCTTTTTTCTTTTTTTGAGAGGTTTTTGCTATAAGGTGCATGCACTCGCCAGAAAGACAGAGAGAGACAGAGAGACAGAGAGCAAGAAATCACCCCCTGGGGAGATGGCCATGCTGGCAATCCCTTCTCCTCCATTCTCCTCTCGGGATCTTGGGCATGCACACACACACCCCCAGCATGAGTTTAAGGTACCAGGTCCAGGACTTGAACCGCAGTTCAGGTCCACTACATGGGAGTCCAGTGACATAACCATTATGTCATTTGCTGGTCCCGAGGTAGAGTCCTTTCTTACTCCTGGTTTTCAGATGAGAAAATGGAGACTTAGAGAGGTAAGCGCTTGTCAGAAACAAACCAAGGTGGGTTTAGACCTGCCCGTGACGCCACACTGGAAACTGCCATGCTGTGCCCCTGGTGTGTCCTGGTGTTCTCAGATGCATGATGGGTGCAGCGGGTGCCAGCTGTGACCTCAGGGCCAAGAATATCCAGGCACCTAGTTGGCTGCCTTTCCCCGTGGGCTTGTAGGTATTTTTTACCTGATTTCCCAGAATCCATTCTTCATTCTCCATCCCTCCTGCATACCCTAACCCCTTTAAGGATTCTTCCCAAATTCTGCAAAAAACAAATAATAAATGGTCACTAAGATCAATGCCATAAGAGAACAAGGGGCAGCAGGACAAGGGACACTGGCTTTGGCGAGGTGCTGTGCTAAGGGTCCCCATCTGTACTTCCTTGAGAGGCCATTCAGAGCACACCAAGGGACGTGCATGAGGGCCCTGGAATGAAGGGCAGACGGGAGGGAACAGGCTACCCTGGCCTTGCGTCATGGTGGACAGATGGGATGGGGTGGGCCTCTGTACCCTGCAGCTCCGAGCCCCCTGGCTGCAGGCACACTTACATTATTAAAAGGCTCTTTAAGGCCTGCGTGAATCTTCCTGGCCTGAAGCTTTCAGACACATGCTCATTTGCATGGAAGATTGATAAGGTTATTAAACCTCCAGTTCTGCTATTTTTGGTAGCATTTGTTTTTGCAGGGTTTTATCGTGGCTGAATGACTAGCTGTCCTACACTGATACAGCGTCATAAAAAATTGTCCCCCTTTCTGTATTTGGAAATGCATCATCTGTAGCTACCCCTTTCCGTTCCGTACAGTTTCTCTCTTCTGGACCCCCAGAGTGCATGTACTGGTGGGGAGAGCTATTTGCAGTCACGGTCCTTAATCAGCTTGGTTGAGTGACATGGGCTAAATTTTGGCTGGTAGCAGGCAGGTGCACACTCTGGATGCTCACACATGTCCTCGGGGCTGTGCAGCTTTCTGGGAGTGAGAAGATGGGGTTTGGGATCTCGTTTCATGGGAAGGAAACCAAGGTTCAGGGTACACATGTCACTTGCTCAACGTCCCATAGCAAGGAAGGGATCAGAATCTACATCTGTTCTAGAATTGGTCCTCACACCTCAGTATTTTGGCCTGTGGCCCCGCAGTGGCTGATAACTGTTCCAGTGGCCACTTCCCCTTTGTTCCTGAAGAACGGGCTTTGGTAATGCCCTCTGAGGCCTGTGACATTTCAGCAGGTTGTGCACAGTGGAGGAAGGTTTAGGGAGGTCACAGACACATCTCCTTGAGGCCGGCCGTGCACACTCGCTACCACTCCTGGCACCCGCACTGCCTCGCCCCGAGGGAGAATGGAAGCCAGTTGAAATGTTAGCGAGAAGCTGTCTTGGAATTCTCAGGTGAACAAGCCTGAAAGCCCCGTTCTTTAGCATCTCGTAGCGACGGCTGTGTCGCCTCTTGATGAATGTGGAGGCGGCGGCAGTGGAGTGGCTGTTACTAGAGCTGGGAGGACAGGAAGATGGGTCTTAACATTAACAAGCAAAGACAGGACGATTCACTGGCTCTAGTGAACTAAGGAACCTGACCAGAAAGTACCACGAGATTGTGCTTGCTAATTTGCCAGCTTACGTGTAGAGATGAACAAAAAGTGCTAATATCCGAGCGGTACAAGTGCCCAGAATGAGGAGGTAAGAAGAGCCATCTGTCCACCAGGAAGTCGGAAAATACCAGTGTTGTGGGGTGGCAGAGTCCGTGCCAAGCTTCCCGCTGATCCGCCCAAGGGAGCCAGCCAAATGTAGTGGTGCCGAGGGCTTCTGAAGCGTCAGAGAGAAAGGATGGAAAGCAGAGCCCGGATGGAAAAAGCACCCAGACAGCTCACTGCCCCGCCAGGCCAGGGTGGGGCTCACACAGGAACTAGTTAACACTGCAGGGAGAGCAGTGCTTCCTCTGAGCGCCGGGCCACACAGGCTGCACTAGTGGGCACCGTGCCCACTGTGTGTGTGTGTGTGTGTGTGTGTGCATGGGGCACGGTGCCCATGACGGGCCCAGCCTGGATTCATACCCTGCTCTGCCCTGACTGGCCAAGCGGCCTCAGGCCAGCAACCTAACAGCTCCCTGAACCCGTTCGTCCAGGACCTGCTTTGGCCTCGTCGCCTGGCCGAACTGCAAGAATGCAGGCGAAGCACTTAGATGGAGGCACACAGGAGGCGCCGCGCCTCGTTTCCTGCCTGCTAGCACCTAGGTTCTTAGGGCTCAGTGGCACGCGTGCATGCACGTGTGCTTGGAAACGTGAGAAGTGCAGGGATAGCACTGTGGTGGCCCCTGTGCAGGCCGGGGTGAGGGCTCACAGTGCAGTGACTTGCTTTCGTTAGTCAGTTCTGAGAGAAAAAGCCCTCTGAGTTCACAGAAGCTGAACTGTGGGATGGAAGAGGAGCACCCGGATTTCTGGCAGTGCTCTCAGGCATTTAGGATCTAGGCCCATCTCTTTATGAAGGGCCCCATCTGTTATTAGATAACTAGATCTGGGAGGGAAAAAACCCTTACGTATGTATAAGGCTTTGTAACTTTCCAGGCATGCCCACACACATCCCTGATTTTATTCCTCTGGGGACCAGAGGGCAGAAACGCAGTCGACAGTCCCTGCCCGGTGCCTGGCACGGTGTCCTGGTGCCTGGCACTTTACGCATTGTCTCATTGAATTCTCAGAACAGCCCATGAGATAGGGGAGACCGTCCTGGTGTTCCTGACCTGAGGCTGTACCACTGGTGAGTGTTTGAACCAGCTCCCATGCCCAGGCCTCCCAGCTCTCTGGCCAGCCAGCCAGGACCAGGCAGCCCAAGAGGGCGCAGGTGGGAACAGTCAGGGAGCCTGCGTACCAAGATGGGCATAGCGTCGCGCTGTTCCTGCCTTGCCACCCACACAGGCCAGGGACTCGCAAATGGGGCCCCTTGCTTGCCGATAGATGCAGGTTGTCGATGGTGACCTGGGTGTCCTAACCAGATCTGGGGCAGGGAAGAACCGTGTACATAGTGGGCGCGTGGAGAAGCCGCAGCTCCGCTCTCGGCCTGGCCCGTCGTCAGTATTTGTCTTGACGCTGCCAGTGTGGGCTGCGGCGTCGTACCAGTGTGCTCTGCGCCAGGCCCCAGCATCTCGCATTGACTCATCCTCCCGTCTGCAGGCTTGCTGGCCATTTGGAAGAGGATGTGGAGGAGTTAGGACGGGGAGGTGTCAAATTGTTACCAAGACATTTCTAATTTGTGATGCGCGGGTTTTAAGCCAACTCTTCTCCTGGTTTTTCCTGTTTTCCACAGCACCCTTGTGGAGAGACATTTTCTGCTCCCACCAAGTTGGCAGGGCCTGCTTCCTGAATCTCCTGGGTGTGTCTTAATTGCCAGTCCCAGCGCCTCCTGGAAGCCCCATTCACTCCTCGAGTGGTCAGAGTGGAAGGACCATGGGAGAAACAGAAGGGAAGAAAGAGGAGGCTGATTATAAGCGACTCCAGACCTTCCCTCTAGTCAGGGTAAGCCGGGCGGGAGGCAGGCCCCACTCCGCTGGGCGCTGGGCGGCGCTCGGCCCCTGCAGGATGGCAGTGGGAGGAAGTCACTGAGGGCCCTGCTGGCTCAGGTCGCAACATCCAGGAGTCCACAGTGATTCATCTCGCGTTCATCCATTCACTTGATGAGTATTTATTTAGGCCACCTGTTTTATGCCGGGATGATTCTAGGCACCATGCAGACGAAGGTCTGACCCACATGAGGCGTGTTTAGGGAACCTGACGTGGCAGTAGGTGCTACAAGGAAAACGGTGACGGGGTGAGGGGCTGGGGAGCGAAGGCTGGCTCCTGGAGAGGGCTCTCTGCTCGAAGACCCGAATGAAGCTGGGGAGCAAGCCTCACAAAGATCTGGGGAGAATTGTCCAAGTAGGGAAAAGAGCCCAAGGCAGGAGTGAGCCCCATGTTTTGGAGGTGCAGAGAGAAGCCAGCAGGGCTACAGTGGGGTGCGGGGAGGGAGAGCGGAGCTGGGGCCGAGTAGGAGGGGCTGGGCCCGACCAGCTGCGGTAAAGGAGGACATGAGGAATGCAGGCTGTCTCCTGAGTTCCGAGAGGACGGGAGGCTGTGAGCAGGGAAGTGATGATGTTTGGTGTTTTAAAAGATCATTCTGACTGTTAGGAGGAGGGTAGCTTCGGGTACCAGAATGGAATGGGGAGACCAGCAAGGACACCATTACCGAGGCCCTGACTGGCTCCGGTCATGGAGCAGAGGTGGGAAGCAGGGTCAGGCTCAGGACACACCGTGAAGGTCACAGCCTTTGGACTCTGGTGGGTTGGGTGCCGAGTGCAGGAGGGAGACTCAAGGGTAACTCGTAGAGGGTTTTTTCCTGAATAATGGGAGAAAAAAAATGGTATTCATTACCAAGAAAAGGGAGTTGGAGGAAGACTAGGTTTGTGGGGAAAATCACGAGTTATTTCTTAGACATCCAAGTGAGGTAATGGGGCAGTTGGGCATAGGAGCCCGGAGCCCGGACGAGGCCGGAGCTGGGGATGATGCTGGGTAGACCCTCCCATTAGAAGACTGACAGATGCTGGGACAGGATGAGCATCCTCGAGGGGAGTGGGTGGGACTGGGCCCAGGGCCCTCTGGGCGGGAAGGCGGGATGGAGAGAGGGCGGTCAGGGAGACAGGAGGTGAACCAGGAGCCCTCGGGAGTGGCTGAGCATCTCCTTGGGCTCTGGGCAAGATTCCATCGCAAGCCATTTCCATAGCTGGCATTTCCTGGTGTGTGTGGGTACCAGTGTGGTGCCCATGGAGCCTGGTGCCCTGGCATGGGGCTTGTGGCTCAGCTCCGTTCCATGCCCCTTTTGCCCTAAGTGCAGCCCCTCTGCCAGGAGATGGGGCACCTGCCAGGGCTGTGCCAGGGCAGCTTTCTAATGTCCGTGCTGTAAGCTGGGGACAGAGGCCAGCCAGGAAGTCCAGGTCACGGCTAAGCCTCTCTCTGTTTGTCCCCCTTGCCCTGTCTCTAGCACTCGGACATGCCAGAGGAGATGCGAGTGGAGACCATGGAGCTATGTGTCACAGCCTGTGAGAAATTCTCCAACAACAACGAGGTATTACCTGCAGTGCAGGCAGCCCCTGGTGCCGTAGTGACCCCTTCCTGGGGGACGGGGTGGCCCAGACCCTGCTGCCAGCTCCAGAAAGTCCTGCTGGGGCCAGGCCAGGGCCTCCCTCGGCGGAGTCTGCAGTCTGGGGAAGGCCAGTGAGAGAAGGGCCGGAGCTGACTCCAGGCACACACGGGCAGCGAAGCCCGCACGGGGTCTCCATGGCCCCGCCCGAGCTCCCAACTCCAGGCAGCTGCCGATTAGGGCAGCTTTCCCCGCAGCTCCACCCCGGTGGGGAACAGAGGCCTGCCCAGGCATTCATTCATGTATCGTTCATCCATTCAAAGAAGATGTGCCAGACAACGCTCCGGCGCTGGGGCTCAGTCAGTGGGCGTCGGCATAGGAATGTCATCTGTCAGTCTGCTGGTGTGTGAGAAAGAAGCTGGTGTCAGGCCAGCTGGTGGTGTGGTGGTTATGGTAGCTGCATCCCACATGGCCAACCATGCGGTTCAAGTCCCTGACCCAGCAGCCTGAAAAACACACCAGGTGCATGTGCACATGCCCGAAGCGTAGAGAGGAGAATGAAGAAGGGATTGCGGCGTGGCCATCCCACCTGAGGGGTGACTTCTCACTTTCCCTCTTTCTGTCTCTGTCTCTGTCTCTGATGATTACACACACCCTATAGCAAATGTGAAGAAGAAAAAAGCCGGTGCTGTGACAGCTGGTGGGAGTGACCCGGCCAGTGAGAACCCAGGCTTTGGGTCAGCCACACCCAAGTTCAGTCCTGCCTCCAGCCCTTCCTACCCTGACCCACGCTCGGCCCCTCCATTCCTCACGGCTGAGCCCAGTTTCTGATCTCCCCACATGGGGCCAGTCACGAGGACTTGCTACTGGGACAGTGAGGATGTGGCGCTTCGCACTGCGTGGTCCGTGGCAGTACATCTGGTGCCTGAGCACAAACTCACCACAAAGCAGGGTGCCTCTTCAAACTGAAGGGAAGCTTCTGGAAAAGTGGCAAAGGAGGCTGGGCTACAGACACGACTGGGGGGGCAGTCAGCTTCTCCCCAGAGCCCATTGTCCTATTGGGGAAGAGCCTTGTAGGCGGCACCTGGCAGGACCCATACTGAGCCTTCGGGGATCCACAGGGCGCCCTCGACCGTTGTTTCACTGGGTCCTGTGACGGACAGGTGCAGAGCCAGGACTCCCACATGGGCCAGTCTCGACCTGGCCGGTGAGGTGATGTCTGGACCTCTGTCCCGGTGAGTAGCCCCTTCCCACAGGCTCTGAGCAGGACGTAATAGCAGCAGGACAGCGGGGCTTTCTGACCTGCGGCCGACCCTCCGTACCAGGCTTCTCCTGGAGAGGGGGCTGACTCATGCCCTCCCGCCTCGCCTGATACACCCTCTCCGTTCCAGAGTGCTGCCAAGATGATCAAAGAGACGATGGACAAGAAGTTCGGCTCCTCCTGGCACGTGGTGATCGGCGAAGGCTTTGGGTTCGAGATCACACACGAGGTGAAGAACCTCCTCTACCTGTACTTTGGGGGGACCCTGGCTGTGTGTGTCTGGAAGTGCTCCTGACACTCTGTCCCCTGCCCCTGCGCCCCGCCCCCTGCAGGGCCTTTTCCTGCCACTCACCTGGGGCAGGGAGC